TGGGGGCTAAGAACACGCTTATCTCCCTGAGCCTGGCCTTCATATGTCCATTCCATCACAATCAGTGAGGATATCAATGGAGGAACGTGGAGACAGTTTCACCCAAAAGATGTAGAGGATGGAAAGAGCCAAAGCCATCCTATAGGTCTTGCAAGTAAGAGTTGAGACTGGCTCAAACCAAACATTCAGACTAAACCATGCAAGAAGTGTCATGGTGGATTATCTGCAAGAACTTGCACTTCCTGGATCATGACCTCAGAGCAACCAACCAAATGCCGGCAGTATATGGTCAAGTTCCCACGTAGCTACGATGGAAGGTCATACTCCCTATATATAGCCATCATGGATTTGCCTCTCTCCCTTCTGAAGATGGCCTGGTTGGTGCCCACACTCTTATCTTCTGATAGCAAATTCCCAAGTGAATTTCTGGAGGTGGAGAAGTGCTTCTTTTTCCTCACTGGAATTTCCAAGCATTGAGGTTCATTGGTAGACTTGGAATTCTAGCATTTGTAGTGGAGAGACTCTTTCAAATCCTCTTTTTCAACACTGTTCCGTTTGATATGTCACTTCCTCTTACATGTCTTTCTTTTTTCCTAAACTAAGAAAAGCTCTAAAGGTAACTTCCTTAGAGGGAAATGACAGGTAGACCTTGCTGAGCGACTGCCTCGTTTAGCAACCATTGGCAGCTACAACAGTGATGAAAAAGTAACTTTACGGCCAATCCTCGCATTTACTACCTTTGCAGGTCTGTAAATCAAAGGAAAGCTGAAGTAAGATCATAAGCATAGTCGCTGCTTCACTTAGTGACCACTTTGCTTAACAGCTGAGTTGCCAGTCCCAACTCTCACTAAATGAGGACTCCCTGTATTCTGGTCCCTCTGGATGATATGCCCATCCCTTCTGGTTTGGATATTTCTTAGGACTGGAAGAAGGAAGCTTTGTTATTAAAGCGGTGTGCACTTCCCTTGTTCTTATCCTGATCTTTTAGAGCTGGATTCTTCCAGGGCTGGAAGAGCAGAATTCTCTCAGACAGCTTCCATTCACCACTGAACTACCACTGAAAAGGAAACCTTTTTTCCTTCAGTTTGCTTGCCTTGGATCTCAAGAATGGAAAAACAAGATAAGTCTCCTATGTAATCCAATTTTTTTTTATCTGTTCAATCATGCCAATTTTCAGAGACTGCCTGGACAAGTCCCTGCAGTTTTCCTGGCAAGGTTTTTCAGAAGTGGTTTGCCAGCTGGGTGACCTTGGGCCAGTCCCTCTCTCTCAGCTCTCCTAGGAAGGAGGCAATGGCAAACCACTTCTGAAAAACCTTGCCAAGAGAACTGGAGGGACTTGTCCGGGCAGTCTCCGAGAATCAGACACGATTGAATGGATTAAAAAAAAACAACCAGTTAACTGAAAAAGAGAAATTGGGTGGCAAGAGTTCCAGTCATCATTTAATCCCTACTTTTCAATATGACCATTCTCTTTAGCCACCTGCCTTGTAGGATCATAGAAATGTGGAGCTCGAAAAGACCACAAGGATCTTTTAGCCCAGTGTTTCTCAACCCTGGCAACTTTTAGACATGTGGACTTCAACTCCCAGAATTCCCCAGCCAGCCTTGTTGCAGTTGGAGTTGAAGTCCACATGTCTGAAAGTTGCCAGGGTTGAGAAACACTCTTTTAGCCCGACCTCTGCAATGTGCAGGAAAACTTGACTAACCACCCTTGAGGTGCCTGTCCAGTCTCTTCCTGAAAACCTCCAGAAGTGGAGGACCCATACCCTCCATAGGTAGACTGTCCCACTGTTGTATGCTGTTCTCAAATTTCTAGCCAGATTAGCTAAAACCAGGAATTCTGGGAAATGTAGTCCCAACATACCTGGGGTGGGCACCAGCTGAGGGAGGAGTGCTTTGCAATGCAGAAATACTTAATAAAGAGAGTTAAGTTGCCTCATTATTTTTTACGTTGGTACTAGTGTAAGAAAAAAAGGTTTTCGCTGTCTTCATCGTCTTAGCTTCAGGAGAAGAGGATTGCTGCTTTTCTGGGATTCATTTATACAGGGCATCTTGTTGAGTTTACTCCTGTTGGATCAACATTTCATGTCAAGACTTTATGTAATTTTGTAAACTAGTTCAGTTACAAAATAGCATATTTAGAAATTGAATGTATATGTGCTGATAGTATAAAAGAGAGTTGATGTAATTTGCACTAAAGTTTTTCCTCATCTGTATCTTTTTTTCTTCAAAGACATTTTTCTTTGCTTGTGTTCTTTTTATTTGAAAATAAAAGGGCCAGATCCACTCAACGTGTTTACAGTTGAGGTAGTCCTCGTTTAACAGCAGTAATTAGAACCAGAATATCTCTCACTAAACAATGTGGTCATAAAGCACAACATTGTGCGACTGCATCACTTAGTGACAGCAATCCTGGCAGTCCCCATTGCTGTCGTTAAGTGAGGATTGCGGGTCATTAAGTGAGGACCTCACGTGACTGTGACTTGTGACTTCCTGCCAGCTTCCACCAAGCAAAGTCAATGGGGTAGCCAGCAGGAAGTCGCAAGTACCGGGAGGCTTGCAAGCGGGCTGGTGGGCAAGTGAGTGCTATGGGGTGTGGCCAGGCAGGGGGGTGGCTGCTGCAGTATGAATGCAGCCTGGCATGGGGTGGGTGCTCTGGAGGGCAGAAAGGTGCACAGGTGGGTACTGCAGTCTGGTGCGAGCGTGGCTGGGTGTGTGTGTGTGTTGCAGAGTGCTGGAAGGAGGATGGGAAAGTGGCAGGAGCGGGAGTGATCTGCAGTCTGCAGCTTTCCCTGCCAGCTTCCCCATTGATTTTGCTTGTGGGAAGCCAGCAGGGAAGGTCACAAACGGTGATCACATGACCGTGGGATGCTGCAACCATCATAAATGCAAGCCAGTTGCCAAACACCCAGATCATGATCATATGACCGCAGGGGTGCTGGGATGGCCAGAACTTCAAGGATCAGTCGTTAGTACCATTCAGTGCCATCGTAATTTCAAACAGTCGCTGAATGAGTGGTCGTTAACCAAAGACTACCTTTAGGGCCAGATCCTGAGTTGTAAAAGTATCCTGATCCACCCATCTTGCTTCTTGTCAACTGAGTGGCTGGTCCACTCAAACTTGTTTCCCATTCAGAATCTGAAGAGGAAAAGAAGTCTGGTCTTTGGCTTTAACAATGCTTCCCTAAAAATAAACATCCCTCACTTTCTTTACTCTCTTGAAACTGACCAGGACTGAGAAACTGGCCTGAAGTCAACATTCAGAATTTCTCTAGAGCCCTTATTGATCTCCCATTGGCTGATAGGTGGCTGGATCACAGAGATTGATCTAACTCAGTGTTTCTCAACCTTGGCAACTATAAGATGGGTGGACTTCAACTCCTAGAATTCCCCAGCCAGCGATGCAGAGAATTCTGGGAGTTGAAGTCCACCCATCTTAGTTGCCAAGTTTGGACAACACTGACCTACAGCGTTGCGCTATTGAAAGAGTGCAAGAGATGATTCCCCCCTCCTCGGCTCGGCGGCTCCGCCCTTCTAAGAGTTAAAGGAAGACAAGCTCGTGCCTAGAGAGGACGGAAGTCGGTGGAGGAAGAGGCGGTACCTCTCCCAGTGAAACAGGCTTCCTACCGGAAGATTCAATTGATGGCCTGTTTTCAGGCGGGGAAGGGAGGTTTTTCGCCCTCCCCGAATCCTGCCCCGGGGGCCCCCTTTGGGGACTTGGGTGACCCCCTCCCCACCACGGCCTTGTGCAATTGGGGGATCAAGAAAGGAGCGGTGAGAGGCAGAGTTGATGTGTGGGGAGAACAGGCAGAGGGGCTCAACAGAGCTAGGGGGGTCAAAGAAGCCCCTTCCCCATTTCCTGGAGGGGCCACTGGCCGACCTAATGTGTCTCCCCCCGTTAGACTATCTGAGCCATTTTTAAAGCAAGAAGGGCCCTTTCGTTTTTAGTGGGGCTTCAATTCCTTCAGCATAATTATTCATCTGACTGCCCGTGCAGGTTTGACATTTTGAGTTTGGGGCTTATTACACTCTGCCCAGAGTCTGTGAGAGTTGGGGTGAGCTGTCAGCATTACAAACAAATAAAAATGGGCGCTGTTCGGTAGTTATTGCCCCACCACCACCATTTCCACTCCACTAATGTGGGTCTGCAAGAATATTTCTTGCATCTCTTGAGGAGGCTCCCTTGTTTCTTCCTGGCTGGATTTTTGAACAGAAAGCCAGCTGGGCAGAGGGTAGAGAAACGCCCTCTGGTTAGGCAGAGAGAGATGGTGAGCAAAGACAGAGGTTTGGGCATGTCCTGAAAAGGCAATGAATGGTTAACTGTGTTGTTGAACATAATTTATTTCGCTTCCTAGAAAGAACAGTGTGGTTTAGGGTCTCTTGTTTCTCTCTTCAGCTTGGCATCCAAGCCTTTAAATCCAGGATAAAGTCTGCTTGCTGCTCCTCAGCCTCCAGATTCCTTTCTGTCTTAATGCTACATGCCAACTGCACTGCACTGTGCTGAGACCAAATTGGGAAGAAGTAGGAGTTCCTTTACATTTGGAGGTTCTCTTGGGGCATTAAAAAAGAGATGGAGGAACAAGACTCAGCTGGTCCTGAAGAAAAAGAAGGTCCTGGTACCAGACTGACCGAGAGCAGTGAAGAATGCTGGGAAAGAACAGTGCAGGAGATTTTGGATAAGGACACAGTCAGCACAGAGGCTCATCGCCAGCGTTTCAGGGGCTTCTGCTACCAGGAGGCAGAAGGTCCGCGAGAGGTTTGCACCCGTCTTCACCATCTTTCCCGCCAGTGGCTGCAGCCGGAGCGACACACCAAGAGTCAGATGCTGGACCTGGTGATCCTGGAGCAGCTGCCGGCAGTCCTCCGGGGGGGGGGGTG